GCCCAACCTGGGCAACTTATCACTTAGTGAGACAGTCTTAAAAAATAAAAAAGAGTTGGGAATGTAACTCAGGGAAAAGGTCCTGGGTTCAATCCCAATGCCAGAAAAAAATTACTAGACTCAAATGACAATAGAAATACAACATATCAGAATCTGTGGAACACAATAAAAGCAGTTTTAAGAGGGAAGGTTATAGCTGTGATTACCTACATTACAAAAACAGAGAAAACCAAATAAATATCCTAAGGATGCATCTCAAGGTCATATAAAAACAAAAGTAATGCAAGGATCAGAGTTGAAACTAATGAAATTGAGAATGAAAATAATACAAATTAAATAGATCTTTTGAAAGGAAAAATATGATTGATAAATCCTTATCCAAACTTACCAAAAGATAGAGAAGACCCACATCTACAAAGTTAGAAATGATAAAAGCAAAATTACAGCAGACACCACTAAAATATAGAGGATTACTAGACACTATTTTGAATAGTGATATTCTAATGAATTGAAGAATCTTGAAGAAATGAATAAATTCCTGGACACATATGACTTACCTAAATTGAAACCAGAAAATAAAAAATCCTGAACAGACCAAAAACAAGCAATGAAAATGATACAGTAATAAACATTGTATCATCCAAGAAAAGCCCAAAATCTGAAGGTTTTACCACTGATCTATACCAGAACTTTAGAAATGAACTAATGCCAATGCTCCTCAAACTTTTTCATGAAATTGAAAGGGAAGGGATACTTCCAAACTCATTTTTTTTGTACCAGAGATTGAACTCAGGACTGTGCGTTTGTCAGTGAGGCACAGTACCACTGAACTACATCTCCAGGCCCCAAACTAATTTTTTTGCTAGTGGGGATTTAACTCAGGACCTTGCACCTGCAGGGCAGGTGTGATGCCACTGAGCTAAATCCCCAGCCCCCCAACTCATTTTTGAAGCCATCTCTGCCCTCAGATCAAAACTAGTTAAGGACACACATGCATACACAGACACACACAGACACACAGACACACACACACACACACACACACACACACAAGAAAAAACTATAGGCCGATATCCTGGATGGCCTATATGCAAAATCTTCAATAAAACACTTACAAACAGAATTTAACAGTTCATTAAAAATATTACACATTATCACCAAGTTGGGTTCACCTCAAGGATGCAAGGATGCTTCAATATATATAAATTCAATAAATACATTACACATATAAATAGCATCAAGGATAGAAATCACGTGATCACCTGAATAGATGCATAAAAGCCTTTGATAACATCCAACATTCCCTTATGATCAAACTCTGATGAATAAAGGTTTAGAAGGACCTTACCTCAAACAGATGAAAGTCACATATGACAAATCCATAGCCAATATCATATTGAATAGTGCAAAGATGGAAGAATTGCCCTTAAAATCAGGAATAAGAGAAGTTTATTTATGCTCATTATTCCCATTTAATTCATTACTTGAAAGTTTAGCCAGAGTAATCAGGCATTAAGAAAGAAATAAAAGGAATATTAATAGAAAAGGAAGAAATTATTCCTACTTGCAGATTTTATTCTTTACACAGCAGACACATAAAAGCCCATGAGAAGACCATTAGATGTGATAAACAAATTAATAAAGTGGCAGGATACAAGGTCAGCAACACAAAAATCAAAAGTTCTTATACACCAGTAATGAGCCCACCAAGAACAAAATCTGGAAAACAATTCCATTCATGATAGCTTCAAAAAAGAGGTCAAATACTTAGTAATCAACCCTACAAAGGATAGGAAAGATCTTTATAAGAAAAATTCCAATATTCTGAAGAAATAAACTGAAAAGGACTTTAGAAAATGGAAAGACATCCTTTGTTTTTGGATCAGCAAAATATGGACATACTGTCAAAAGTGATCAATAGATTTAACACAATACCTATTAAAATACCAATATCAGTATTCACAGAAATAAAAAATACATGAAATTCATATGGAACCACAAAAAAAATCCAGAATAGCTGAAATAATTCTGAGCAAAAAGATCAAAATGGGAGGCATCACAATACTCGATTTCAAGTTATACTGTAAAGCTGTATTAAGAAAGATAGCATAGTACTGCCACTATTGTAGACCAATGAAATAGAACAGAAGACCCAGAACCACCCCTATGCAACTTAAGCCATCTGATTTTAAGGGCCAAACATGCATTGGAGAAAAGAGGGCATCTTTAACAAATGGTACTCAGAAAATTGTTTATCCATATGTAGAAGATCAAAACTACATTGATATTATTCACCACATATTAAAATCAAATCAAAATGGACCAAAGACATAAACTCTGAAACTGTTGGAAGACAGCATAGGGAAAATACTTGAAGGCACAGGCATAGCAAAAACTTCCTAAATAGAAAATTTAAACTCACAGGAAATAATACAAAAAAAAATCAACCAATGGAATTACATCAAATTAAAAAGCTTCTTCACAGAGCCAGGTTTGGGGATTCATGCCTGTAATCCCAGCACTCGGGAGGCTGAGGCAAGAGGATCACTGCTACATAGTGAGAGTGGCCTGAGCTACATAGTTCAAGGCTGGCCTGAATTGTATAGCAAGATCTTGTCTCAGAAAAGCCCAAGAAAGGTGTAGCGGGTGGGGGGGGGGAATGGTCAATTGGTACATGAAAAGATGCTCAACATCATTAGGCATTAGAAATTCAAATGAAAACGCCAATAAAGGTGCTCATTATAATGGCTAAAACTAGTTAAGACTGAGAACACCAAGAACTGTCAGGGAGGTGGAGCAGATACAGTTCTCACACATTGATGAGAAAATCATTAGGCTAGAAATTCAAATGAAAACGCCAATAAAGGTGCTCATTATAATGGCTAAAACTAGTTAAGACTGAGAACACCAAGAACTGTCAGGGAGGTGGAGCAGATACAGTTCTCACACATTGATGAGAATAGTTTAAAATGGTACATACAACTACTTTGCTAAATGTATTGTGTTTGCTTATGAAATGAATACTCATGGACTTCATGACCCAACATTTTCATTCCTAGGTATTTACATGAGTGAAGTGAAAATGCATATTCACAAAAGCACTTTGATGTGAATATTTATAGCAGTTTTATTCATAATAATACCAAACTAGAAACAGCTCAGATATTTGTTAATAAAAGAATGGATTTATTCCAGAACAGGCAAAACTAATCTGTAGTGGCTAAAAAAAAAATCAAACAGTGATTTCCTGTGGGGTATATGTACCGAGTTTGACTGGGTAGTTTAACACCACTTAAAAAGTTTAGCTCAAAATAATAAAGCTGTGAATAAATACTGAACTTTACTTGATATAAATGTTAGAGTATTTTAGAAGTACATGTACTTATATGTGCAATGTACTTTAAAATGCATCAGAATGTGTTTAACCGATGGGTAGATAGAAGGGTAGGTAAATGGAGAGGAAGATGATAAAAACAGATATAGTAATATCTTAATGATAGCCTCTAAGTGGTAGGTCTCTGACCTTTCCCTTTTAACTGCTTTCAACATTTTTATACATTTTAAAATGTCCATAAGATGTTGGAAAAATATTGAATATCTACTCATTGTTTTAAGGAATGGGTAGACAAGAGACGACTGAAGGAGAGTTTCCCAAAAGAACTCCAATGGAAGTGAATTGCACTGATATAGTTCTTTCTACAAACCAGGGACAAACGTAGGGGCAGAAATTTATTTTTATCTAATAAATATTAATGTGTTTTGTAACTGGAAACTCCTAACCAACAGGTTAAGTGACTTACCCAAGGCCATCAATCAATGAGTAGCAGTTAAGACTTCATGCGGAACTGTTTCTGATTACCAAGTTAGTATTCTTTGTCCAGTGAAGTTTTACAACCATTTCCATGCTGCCTCTGACCTTGATAACTCATTTGCTTTATTTTTCCCTAGTGATGAAGGCCACAAATTTTGTGTTTTCCTCACAGTTGAATCTGTAGGGTCAAAACCAGTGCCTGGCTCTGAACAGATGTGCCAGAATACTTTTTGAGTAAATTCAATTAATGCACAGTGGGATAAGTGAAAGAAGGGTAGTTCAAACGCAAAAGAATATAAGAAAAAAACCTGGCTGCAAGATGGAAAAGAATTGGCTTTAGAAATCTAAAGTGGTTTAGTACATGTAGGATGGAATGTGTGTGGAAAACATGAGTTGTATGGGATGCCAAAAGAATAATAAGGGATCACATTGTGTAGTCACGAGAGCGACAAAAATGAGTAGAAGGGGTTCATGGTGGAAGCAAGGAGTCCAATTAAAAGACTTTAAGAAAGGCTTTGAAGTGAGGTAACAGTGATCTCACCGTAAGCGTAACATTGCAGATACAAAGCAGTAGATAGTATGAGAAAAATTTAGGAGGTAGAGTTGATGATACTGGTTGCTTAATGTGAGGGAGAGGAGAAAGTTAAAAATGAATTTTGATTTTTTTGGTCTGGGTAACATGGTGGGTGGTGGTGTCATGCACTAAAATGCAAGGAAACAAGAGAAAGAGCAGGCTTAAAATGAGTGGAGAGGATGAGTTCAGTTTTGAGTATAACATATTTTATGATTCTATAAATATTTAGCTGGTGATATTCCAGGAGCAATTGGATATCCTGACAAGGAGTTTTGCATAAGTCTGGGCTGGAGTTATCAATATTATTGTCATCATGCTTTAGGGTACCTTATCTGTATTACTGAGGACAATTAAATAACTTCATTGTAATAGATGTTTTCCTTTTAAAAATACCACCTCCGATACCTGCCCCACTTGAAATGAAGCCTTCTTTGTCTGCTGGCCTGTTTATTATTCCAGGGAGCTATACTGAGCCTATAAATTGTTCTATAATAAAAAGCTATAGATAGTAAGATTAAAGTGTGCCAGATAGAAGGATATTAGGAATTACCATCACATTAGAAGCTTAATGTTTGGTAAATACATTACACTGGAGGATAGTTCTTTGCTACTCACCTGATCAAATACAGCTCTTTATTCCATGGGTAGATATTTAAGACTGGCCCAACCCCAATCATGTGGTTGTGACATTCTCCAACATTTTCAATATATTCATGCTTCAATGGCACTTTGCTGAGGAGCTCAAATTCCTCAGGTGCCTTTTGAAGTACCTGTTCTGCTGCATAGAATCCATCTACTAACAATGTCCTGCCACCTGTTCCTTCATGTTTAAGACAGTGAAACACTTGAATGCTAAAGAAGGAAAAGAAAAGTAAATTCTTATGTTCATTGGATAAAAGGGAGTATATCAAATTTCTAGAATATTATATAACAAATGATTATAGAGTCTACTTGTGTCATTTTATTTTCATGAAGAAATCTCATAACTGCTTTCTTCTCATAGTTGTACCATTTTTGTACTTTGAAATATTAATGCCATTATAGGTTTCTTCTAAATATCACAAGTATTGAAGCCTCTATATGCCAGGCCTTGGGAATGCAGGAATGAATAAGATATAACCTTTGTTCTAATATGAAGATATGAAGCCAGTACTAAGAAGAGGTATAATAATAGGTACTATATACAGCTGTATGCAAGACATAGTGAGGCCTATAAAAAGAAATACTCTATTCTAGTGCAGTGTTGTATAAAGGAACTTGAGGGAGGAGGGGGATAGCTTTACCTGACCTCAAAGTAACAATCAAGAATTGGACTGGAATGAGATTGAGATGAAGAGAGAATTCTAGGCAGAGAAAAAGTGTGAATAGATATACTGATATAAAACAAAGAAGATCTATGTGTGGTGACATATGCATGTCATCTCAGCACTCAGGGAGGTTGAAGCAGGAAGATCTCAAATTTGAGTGTGGCCTGAGCAACTAAGTGACTTAGTAAGATCTCGTCTTAAAATAAAAAATAAAAAAGGTCTGGGGATGTAGCCGAGTGCAAAGGCCCAGGGTTCGTTGTCTAGTACAGAAAAGATGTATATTCAAAGAGAATAAGAAGTTTCTACTAGCATAGTGTAAAGAACACAGAAGGAACCTAAACTGTAAAATTACAAGGTCACATTAACATTTTAAAAGGTTGACCATGATTATAGTATGAAAGATAGAACAGTGGGAAGAAAGCTGACAAAAAACTTGGAAACCAGAAACAACTTAGATCAAAACCTACCTCTCTCTTGAATTAAGGATCTTTGGCTCCTAAGTAATTCTGATCTAAACATTTCACAGAAATTTTAACTTGTCCAAGATCACAAAGCTATAATAATATATATTTAGGATAGGATATAAAGCTAGGTCCGGTTGCTACCATAGTTTTCACTCTCAGCCATTATTTCTACATCACAAATCTACTTGGCCTTTGGTATTGATTAGAAGGGGTAAAATTAAGGAACAGTTGCTAATCTTTGGCATTGGTCATAGAAGGAAGAGCTAGTGAGTGTTTGAACCTCAGCCTCTATCCAGATGCTTCTCATTCCATTTCCTCCCTCCCTCCCTCCCTTCCTCCCTTCTTTCCTTCCTTCTTTCTTCTGTGTGAGTGAGTGTGTGTGTGTGTGTGTGTGTGTGTGTGTGTGTTCTAGAATGAAGATGCAGCGGGCCGGGGATTTTAGCTCAGTGGTTCCGGCACCTGCCTTGCAAGCACAAGGGCCCGAGTTCGATCCCCGGTACCAAAAAAAATAGAATGAAGAGGCAGTGCTGTTGATCTTTCCATACACTGATAATGTTGGGCAGGATACCTGAAAACTGATTTATTTTTCCTTTTCCAAACCAAACATTCTTAAATTTTAAACTTTTAAATAAATATAAACATAACAGATCGTATACGATCACCCGATTATACTTTATTAGTCCAGTACACTCACTTTACTGACATAATAAGTCTCAAGCTCATCATCTATTTCAGGAGCAAGATTAACAACAATAAATAAAAACCATAGAGGTGCCTCCTGTACATTGCAAACGGTAGGGAACTTAAGCTACTGATTCAATGTGGAAAAGGTTATTTTTCAGCCCTTCTTCCCTCCAACTTCTTGTAAGTCAGATTCAAATACCTCTTAGTACCATACTCGAAATAGCAACGCTTGCAGGACTGGCCTCTTTGAAATATGTTAACTAAAGACTAGAAAGCTGTAAAATCCCAAAACTAATGATTAGTCGATATTTTTCTTGGTAGGTTATAATGACCTTGAGAAAATTATAAATTAACAAAATCAAGACCACATTTACATAGTAAGGAGGGGTTTCAATTGCTTAAATATTTATTCTTACTAGTCTAAAGAAGACTGAGCTAAGTATTTAAAAATTATTATGTTTCTAGAGGAAGAGAGAGAAATAATCATACAAATTTATAGCAGTAGATGTAATCCTGGTTCAAATAGAATAGGAATTGATTAAGGAACTACTTAAGGCCATCACATGTAAGTATGCTATGCTGTAAAAATCGAATCCACCTACCCACAGGGTTCTTGAAAATAGGTAGTGTCAGTGTGCCGATCCAGAGCTAGTTTGGTATATGCAGTGTCGCCTCTGGAGAAATCTGACGTGAAATACCACATCCTCCCATAGATGGTTTCTCTGTCAATAAAAAGATCTATAAGACATTTGAAATTTCCTTCTTATTTTTCAAAACTACTTCCAATACTTTCTTTAGTTGCTCACAAATAAAAACTGATTTTGTTTTTCAGATTTACACTCATAAGGTGAAATTGACAGTTAAACATAACACATATGGACAATTCTGCCACTGATTAACATTCTGGGAAGTTGAGGGGAAAACTGTGTAAGTATAATGTATTCTGAAAGCTTAGGGAATCATACTACGTTGTTTATATGCCTACTTTTAATAGCCTTCACATTCAACGTTACTCCCTGTGCTTACCTTCCTTTCATAGAAAAAGATGATGATAGCTGCTTCTAGAAGTGATGTTTTTACTTAATTTTAAAAATAACTGTTGTCTTTTATTAATATTCTTAATTTTCAGTAATAGTGTTAATTTTCTAATATCTTGGATAATCCAATTTTCAGGGGTGACTGAAGTATTTCCATATTCTTCATCTGACATAGAAGTGATTAATGTAGATCTTCACTTATCTTTTGGACATGGACAAATAAGGAAAAGAGAAAAGGATAGTTTGTGTTACAAGTATTCAGTGAGAATTGCTGTATTGCTGCATTTCTCCTTGAGGCATGCAATGTAGATTTTGATTTTGTAATTGTTTTTGTGGTGGGCTCAGATCTGACCTAAAGTTCACTTAATTTCTTCAGCTCTCAGAGTTCTTATTCTCTGAATACACAAATCCAAACAAGAAATGTTCTTCTTTTTCAACTAAAAGTTCTAAATCCCTCTCAATTTATTGCTTACCAGCACAATTTCTTTTATTCTAAAGTTCTCAAACTGTTTCAAACTGAATGGTTTACAAATTTATGCTCTACTAGTACAGGGGAATTGACCCAGCATACTGTCTGTTATATACTCAACTATATCTGGGTTTTATTAAATAAAAGGGAAATATTAATTAAAGTGAAGTAGTTTTATTTCACATTTAATACTGCAGAAGATCTATCTATATGCCAACTAGAAATTTTGAATGGTAAAGAAAAGGGTACTACTACTTAGGATCAGAAAACCTCAGCTACTTAAATGACAGCTTTATTGCTTGCTATCAGGGAAATCCGGGGCAAGCCACTTATTATATCTTAGAATCAGGTGCTTCATCAGTAGAATGGGATATAACATATAATTATCAGAATTACTATAATCAAAATAAAATAATGGATGAGAGATGTGATGGTTAAATGCTATATAGTGTTTATTTACAGCCAATCTCTGAATCAAGCTCTGGGAATCACAGAAGAAGGTAAATCACAGAAGGCAAAAAATGTATAATCCTTAGACATCATAGTCAATCTTCCATTGAAAAGAAGGGAAAATGTTTGTGTGTGTGTGTGTGTGTGTGTGTGTGTGTAGTGGATGTGCCTATGGTCATATAACAGCTTGATGGTAGAACTCAGACTACAACCTAGTTCTTGTTATTTACAGTTAGTGCTTTTTCTAATGTACAATGATAACTCTCACTTTGAGGATCACTAAGTTAGAAAAAATATATGCCAATGATTTTGAAGTTTTCATTAAATGTAACATTTAAGTATCTTTAAAGGTGAGAAATCTAGTCCTCATTATAAGGCACTGCAAATGACAGTACTCTTAATTAGGTTACAGAGTATTCTGGATTGAAAACAAGAGTAACCATCCCTTTTATATTTTTTGTTGGTGCTCATGTTCTAGAAATTAATTACTATGGATTTCAGAAAACCAATAAATTACCTGATCAAGCTGATCCTTTCTGCCAACTTCTCTGTGTGCTCTTGAGTGGGAGGGACATTTTCTACAAATGCAATTCCATAAAGCAAAAAGTTTTGTAGAAACATCTTCAGTCCTTCTTTGGTTTCTAAAAAACTCTGGAAATCTACAGATGGAACTTGGGCTTGCTGGTAGACTTCCGCATTCCATAATATTCTAGGCTGAATAACCTTTTGTTTCTGCCCTTCATAGCTATTTTTCACCAGCCAATCCAAATCATATCTAGTCACATGACCATCTGGCCCTTTTTTAGGGAAAAGAAGTTATTAAGATAATAATTACAAAGATTGTCAACGATTTACTGCTTAAGAATGTTAATTCTTAAATTACCCAGTACTGTATTGTTTATGAAACCAGAGTATGAGTAAGAGTACTTAGAAGAATACTTCTGAGAGAGAAATATTTGTAGGTAGATTGGTATGCATGAATAAATGGATAAATCTTCCAAAAAGATAAATAAATAAATAGAACCATAGCTATATAGCAAAGGACCTTCTCAAAAATTTACTAAGTATTCAAAGAATTATAATCCCAGCAGGTTTTCAGTCTCCTCAGCACTTGCTCCCAATTTCCATCTCCTGCCTACAAATGAACTTAGAATATTTAAGCTAGAAGGGACTAATGTTAAATTTCCATATGGTAAAAAAGTCAGTTAGTGTTGAGTATTACTCAAACTTTTTGGGACCAGCAGTATTTCAGATTTGGAGTTCTTTGAATTTTGTAATATTTGTATAAACTTTACCAAATTCAAAGATGCTGAACTTGTACCACAGTTGGAACCAGAACTCTATCTTCTTGATTCAGGCAGTAACATTCTGTGTTACGTTCCTCTTCTAAATGGTTTAGGCCATTTCTGTTTAATAACATAAAATCTGATAAAATTTGTGTCATTACAATAAAGTGTCTTTATAACTGCCTTTTCCCATTGTGCAAAAGAAAGTTCAGCTCTCAGTGACCTGCCTCTTCCAACCCCCAAATTTTCCAAAAAATCCTTAAGATAAGTAATGGAGGCAGCAGAAATAGTAAAAGGCTATGTGTCTTGCCTTTTTTTTTTCATCTGTCGCCTTTTCTCTCCTTTCCCTTGACAAAAAATATCACACTTATTGTAAACAATTTGGAAATCATAACCAAGTAAAGAGAAATTAAAAATTACCTGTATTTATCATTCCATCATTTAGATGAGACCATAATTGACAGGTTAACATCATTCCTTTCAGTTTTCTACTATTTATCTTTATGTAGTATAAAAAATAACAGTTAAATAATTTTGTGCCCATCAATGCCATTTAACATTCTGGCAATCATTTTATACTTTTTAAGATAAAATCTTTGGAAAAATTAATTCTGAAAGTTTGTAAAATATAGAGTGCCAGTATCTACCTAAATAGTCTGCTCCCCTGGGTACAAGGTTTCATTTTTGAAAAATTTTCTTATTATTTAATGGTGATTATTTTTATCCATATTTCTAATAATCTAAAGATATAGTATGTATCAAGACTTATATAAACTTTTAAGCTTATTGATATGTATAAGCAAATTACTTTCTAGGAAGATTTTATCTTTATTCCTTCCAACAGTATATAAGTACTCATCAAATTGAGAATTCTTTTAAAAAATATGTATTTTTCTAATTTAGTTAAGTAAAAAAATATTTTATAATAATTTGAATTTATTTGCTTACTAATAAAGCTAATAGCATTTTCCACACCTGTTAGATATCTATGTGTATTTAATGCAGGGGCCACCAAAGTATGGTCTATGATTCAAATCCAGCACTTGTTTTTGTGGACTCTATTTTGTAACACACATGTCCACTTAGTTACATATTCTCTATAGCTTAATATTCTCTGTAGTTCTGTGTTCTCATATTCTCCATAGTTCTATAGTCTCATATTCTCTATAGTTCAATATAGTTGTGACCATACAGCTAACGAAGTGTAAGAATATTTATTGTCTGATCCCTTAGAGAAAATGTTTGCTGATTACTTTTGCAATGATTTGTTCACTTATATTTTTCTATGGGATTACCGGTGCTTTTCCTACAATTCAGCAATAGCATCTTAGGGTAGCAATAGTATCTAAGGGTAGTTGGTCTTTTAGTAATAGTACTTTATATACTAAGGGGAAGTGGTATTTATAATACAGTTTGAAAATATTTTGTCAAGTTTAAAAAATTAAATTATTTCTCTGATGCTTATTATAGGAAAATTAATAGTCAATGTATTGATTGTAAACATTTTTTCCTTTAATGCTTCCTTTGTTTAACATTTTATTTGGAAATTGTAGCTTCATAGGATGTTATAAAGCAATGTATAGGGAAGTCCCCTGTACTCTTTTTTTAACCATTTCCCAGTGCTAACATCTGTTAGGGTTTAGCTCTAGATTGTTCCCCAAAGGCCTTATGTGTTCAGAGTGGGGCTTTTGGAAGGTGATTGGATCATGGAGGCACTGTCCTCATCAGTGGTTTAATTCACGGAAGAGTTCAGAATTGAATGTGGTGTTAGGAGACGGTGCCTGGTTGGAAGAGGTGGCTCACTGGGAACTGACCTAGAAGCTTAGACCCTCCTCCCCCACTCCTCACTTTGTTTTGTTTACTGGCTTCCATGACATGACCAACTTTCTTCCACCATGCCCTTCCTGCCTTGGAACTCTTGACCATGGACTGAAACTGTTAGCCAAAATAAGCTTGTCTTCCTCTAAGTTATGGATGTTGTATATTGTGTCCCAAATTAAATTGTTTGATTCAGTGTTGACCTTATGGGGGAGTTTGACTTGGTTCTTGTCCAATTTGGTTTGCAACCAGAATCATGGAAAGAATTAAATTCGTGAACCGAGGTACCACTATAATATGTTCTCTACCTCTATAGCTATGTCACTTTATGAATGTTACATAAATGTGTCATGCACATTGGCTTTTGTCCAGCTAATTTCACTGAGATTCTTCTAAATTATCATATATGTTAATGGAATTTTTTTTTATTACTGAGTAATACTCCACTATAACAGTTTGTTTAATTATTCACCCATTGGGTAGTTTCCAGTTCTTAGTTATTACAAATGAGACTGATGTGAAAATTAATGTACAAGCATTTTTGTGTAAATACTGTATAGGTTTTCATATTTTTTGGATAAATGTACAAGAGGGTACATTTCTGAGTTGTATGGTAACTGCATGCTTAATTTTCTAAGAAACTGCCAAACTTTTTCCCTGAGTGGCTGTAATAGGAAAGTAATATTTTGCATTACTATCAGCAGTATATGGCTAATAGAATTTCTCTTTATCTTCTCTAACATTTGGTGTTATGATATTTTTTAGTCACTATGATAGGTATGTAGTGAAATCTTGCTGTGATACTATCATTTATCTAATGACATGATGGGGATCATCTTTTCATGTGTTTATTTGCAATTTGTGCATCTTATGAAGTAAGATGTCTGTGCATGCCTTTTATCTATTTTCTAATTTGATTTTTTGTTTTTCTGCTGAGTTTAGAATTACTGTATTTAGTCCTAGTCCCAGTTAGAATCTGATGATTTTTTATGTTCTTTTCTATGAATTTTATAGTTTTACGTTTCACATTTAAGCCCACAGTCTATTCCGTTTATTATTATATAAAATGTGAAACCTGGGTCGAGGTTACTTTTTTTCCTTTCTATAGATATCCAATTGCTCCAATATCAAATGTTGAAGATTATCCTTTCTTCATTTAATAGACTTTGCACATTTACCAAAGAAAGCTTAATAGATTTGTGAGGATCTGTTTCTGGGCTCTCTGCTCCAGTGACCTATGTCTAGCGTCTATCTCTCCAAAATGGGCAATAGACCTAAATAAACATTTCTCAAAAGAAGATGCATAAATGGCCAACATATTCAGTCTCAACATTAAGTATGATGTTATCTATGAGGAGAACAAAAGATTCTCAAGAGTGCTACCAAAGCAAGGGGAAAAAAGTATCTGAAAGAATAAACAATTTTGGAAAGGAGCGAAACATCTTTTTTTTTTTTTCAGACAAGGTCTCACTAGGTAGATGAGACTGACCTGGAACTCACTTTGTAGCCTAGGCTGGTCTCAAACTCACAGTGATCCTCCTGCCTCAGCCTCCCAAGTGCTGGGATTACAGGCGTGCACCACCATGCCCAGCTGCGAATCACTTTTTTCCACAAAATAATTTTTCTTTGTGAGACTACTCCAAAAATGACCAAGTATCTTGTCCACTTACAAGTGAAAAAGAGTGTAGTCTCATCCAGACGAATGGTCTTTGGCTTGATACATAAATCCACACTAGCAGTGTCCAGGCTGCGCTGGTGAGTCTTAGAGTTGTAGCAAGATGCTGAGCGACAGTGGTCTCGGAGCCAGACATAGTCAAAGCGCATCACAGTGTTAGCATATTGTAGTTCTAGGGAAAACCACATTTATCAGAAATATTTAGGAAAACTAAACAAAATCAGTAGCAAGAAATTTCCTTCTAAAAGACTTTCACCAAGAACCAAGAGCAATACAGAAGAGATGAGGCCATTGCCAGTTATTAAAACATACTCTAGAATGTCAATGGTTAAAATGGTGTGAAGATGGCATAGGAATAGACCGATAAAACAATGGAAAAGTATAAAAAACTCAGAAATATGCCCAAATACAAAGGCCTTGCACTATTCTGGCAACTTTTCTGTTAGGGTAAAGTTTTAACAAAAAGTCAAAGACTTTCCCAGGTACCAGTTTACTCATTACAAAAAGTAAATAAATATGAAATCACATTTGTAAGAACAACAGAGAACTGTGTCTGGGAACAAACACAAATGGAAGAGTGTGCTATGGAGAAATATACGCAACCATCCTAAAGGACCTGAAGGAAACCTGAATGGAGAAATGCCATGTTCACAGCTGGGCAATTTCAATATTGAAAAGAAAGCAATTTTCCTACTAATTAATACACAAATTCCATATAATTCAAATCCATATCCTAGAGGAAGTTCCCAATGTACTGGACAAGTCAGTTCCAAAATACATATTGGTAAGTAATAAAGTAACAACTTCGAAGAAGAAGCACATGGGATAACAGATACAAAAACATAACATAGAACTATAAACTAAAAAGTGTGTAATTCATACAAAACAAATTAATAGATCAAGGGAAAAGAATGGAATCCCAACATAGATGCACATGGATATACAGTATTTGAAAATATGCCATTTAACAACAGTGGAAGAAAGGTGGAGCAACCAAAGTATTGGAAGAAATGAATATCTGAGACAAATTTTGTTCTTATTTAGAACAGTAAATTTCTCATATACTACAATATATAAACAAAACTATTAAAAATTATGTTAACAATCTTGAGGTAGGAAAGGCTGCTTTAATATAACAGAAAAAGTATAAAAGATAAAAATATATTTTGTAAGCAATATGAAAACAACAGCCAGGGGTGTAGCTCAGCGGTTCGGTGGCCTGCCTATTATTCTTTTCTTTGTTTTTATTTTTTGTTTTGTTTTTTTTGTTTTTGTTATTTTAATGGAGTGTGCTGAATGTCTGCAATTTTGTTCAGATGACTGCAGAACCTGGAAAAGCTGTTGCTGCTATCGATGCATAACATACTGCTATTATTAATCTTTTTATATAAATAGAAATATATATATACACATATATATAAATTGAATTTTGGGAAATTTTAACGGTGCTGTCAACTTTGGAAAAAGTTATCCCAATTTACTGTGTTGAGTTGGCTTTGTACAGAAATGGACAGCCGTAATGGTCTAGAAATGTTAATTTAAAAAAAAATTTTTTTCCATGTGTACAGGGGTAACGCATTGCACTAAATATGTAAGGTTATATCTACTTGGGTTTGATTACAGAAACTAATAAAGTATTCTCTAAATAATGAAAAAAAGAATAAGATAAGACTACAAGAGCAAGAAGCAATTTAAATATGTTCGGGGACCATTTTCATCTCCAGAATTAAGGATTATTTTAATGTTACATCATTGCCTTTTCTCTTTTACTTTCCTTTTTAGTTTTATTTTAGGATTCCCTATTTTTAATGTCCACACAGAGATTTCTTTAACTGAAATACCGAATAGTTTCTCTGGTGTGAAAAACTATAATAGTACACAGGATCCTAATGAGATAATTAATAATGTGAAATAGGAAGTAAAGGGCTAAAGGTGTAAGGAAAGTGGGAAGCGTGGGGGAAAGGTAATAAGGGAGAGGAAAAAAATATGAGAAACTGAAAAAATGGAAATAAAGTGTTTGCAAATGGGGAGGGGAGGAGGGGGTGAAGGGAGGGCAGGGACAAGGGGAAAAATGAGAATCAAGATCTATTATGTAAAGGTACAGAATCCCAATGATGAATGTAACTGTATTGTATACCTAGATTGTACAAATAAACTCAATAAAAAGAAAAAAAATAAAAACAACAAAAAACTGGGAAATATATTTTTAACATGAAAGGATTAATACCCACCGTATAAAATAAATTATTGTGACCACTAAGAGAAAACGCCAACGCCATAAGTGAAATAATTCAGATACAGAAAGAAAAATCACATTCTAATCTCACTAATATGTGGAATCTAAAGAAAGTATTAGATAAGTACAATGGAGAAGTCTAAAGTTCTAAAGTGTAACATGAGGACTATAGTTAATAATAGGGTACTGTATTTGGAAATTTTGCTAAATGAGTAGATTTGCTGCTCTTGCCACACACAAAAATGAATAACTATTTGAGATGATGGATATATTAACTTGCTTCATAATGGTAATCATTTTACTATCTATATGGATCTCAGAGCACAATGGCATATACTTTAAATATACTTAAAATATACTTTAAATATCTTTAATTTTAATACAACACAAATAGATATTAGTAAAGAAAATACTAAAAACACTCTTACTTCTATGAAAATAAGTAAAATTTCCTAACAAAATAATTAGAGAATAACACTGATTAATATACTGTGTATCATGATCTTAAAACAATAGCCAAAATATTAGAGTACTCAGAGTACAAATCAGAAAAAGGCTCTCTTACAATGAAGAAACAAATAAAAAGACAAAACATTCTTTTCAGTGATTAAAAAGAAACTAGGAGTATAAATGAAACAAATTAGCATTGTATCTTAAAATATTTTTCAAACAATGGAATAGATAATTTGGGGAATTATTTGAACTTCTCCTTACTTCCTATTTATCTATCTTCATTTTGATCTCTCTCTTCATAAATATATATCATATATATATATAGATAGATCTGTTTCTCATATAAGAAAAATCATACAATATTTAAGCTTGTGTCTCTTTATTTCAATTAACATAGTTCTCAAGCTGCATGTATTTGCCCATGAATGCCTCAAGTTTACCCTTTTTATGCACAGTAGTCCTATTACATTGTGTATAAATTACACATTTTCCTTATCCATTCATCTGTTGGTGGACATATGCACTGTTTCCAGGTTCTAGCTATTATAAATTATGCTGCTATAAACACGGGCATGCATGTATCCCTGTAATATGATGACTTCAACATCTCTGGGAAGATACCTCAAAGGGGGGATAGTTGGGTCAAGTGGAATTTCTATTTTTAATATTTTAAAAAATTTCCACATTGGTTCCCACAGTGGTTGAACTAGTTTACATTCCCACCAACGGTGTAGAAGAGTTCCTTTTCCTCTACATCCTCTTCAGCATTTGTTGCTATTTGGTTTCTTGATGATGGCCATTCTTTAAAATTTTATTTTTGTTTTATTTATTTATTTGTTTATTTATTTGTACTGGGGATCCAACTCGGGTCCTTGTGCTTGCAAGGCAGGCGCCGGAACCACGGAGCTAAATCCCCGGCTACATTTTATTTTTAAAAGAAACACTTCTTCTTCTTCCAAAAAAAATCTACTGAACTTCGGTAAAGAAGAGTGAAAATATGCGGTGTGTTTACCCTGGTGTTCTTTTACATCCTAGCACCATTCCAGCTCTGTCAGCAGTAGTTCTACAAGGAACGGCAAGCAAGGACAACCAGCAGCTTTGTTCTCAAAGGAAACTATTTGAGCTGGAGCACAGTGCAAAAACATATTCTATGTTCACAGATTAGAAGAATTAATATTGCTAAAATATCCATACTACCCAAAGTTATATAAATTCAAGGCAATTCAATAGTGCAATGATATTATTCATAAACACAAAAAGATCTTAAAATCCTGACCAATAATTTCACCTGTATTATATGTAAATCTGATTGTGATGTTGCTTTATGTCTTCCAATTACAGTATTTCTTGTCAGTATATTTTGTAATTTTTCTATTGTCGAAAGCCATACTCTATATTGTATATGCAGTAGATACTGAGGTAATTTGGGCTTCAGCATGAGTATTATATTAATCCAGTGAAGGATTTGGTCTGTGTTTGTTGTTTGTTATCTCTATGGGTGCCAGATATTAAATTCCTCTAATAATTTTGTTTTCCTCTCAAGCCTTTTTGGGTGGCACCACCCAAATCCAGGGTGAGGTTTACCACTGCCCACACCCAGGATCACGATAAACCAATTAGTGGACTAATCAAGAGCCACGCACCCGTAATCTACATTTATGGGAAACCAGGTGTGAGACAAAAGCCTGGGTTGAATTCTACTTGGGACACAGCGGTAGGGATAGCAAGCTGTTCCTCCCCTGGGTCTGGTTGCTAGCATGTCAGTGCCAGCCACTGTCAAGGAGAGAACCAACTACAGCTGAGGTCTGATGAAAAGAAAATACATATTCTGGTGCAGTCTACAAATTGTGAGAATCTGACAAAACTTTCCCTGAACCCTGGGTCATGTGCCTGCTTTATTCTAGTTTGTGTGAGTCTAATAATAAAGTGAGAAACACTGTCAGATCGAGGCTCTTTGTTTACTAGTTAGTGGCAAGAGTCTCCTGGCCCTTTTCCAGATTATTATTGTGTCTTTTGTCTTTTGTCCTTGTTGGTTCCCCAGTCAGGAATAAACTCATAGGGTGGTTCCTACACGCATTTACACACCTAGATCCAGCCATCTCCAAAAAGCCTCACCTTTGAGTGCATGGGACTTTGGGAGAACATCTGGTTATAAGCCATGACAATGATGAAAAAGATATATGTTCTCTTTTTTTCCCTTTTATTGAGTTTATTGGTACATTTTAGGTATACAGTACAGTCACATTCATCATTGGGATCCTGTACCTTTACATGACAGGTGGACTTGGTTCTCATTTTTTCCCCTTGTCCCTGCCCTGCCTTCACCCCCTCCTCCCCTCCCCATTTACAAACACTTTATTTCCATCTTTTCATTTTCTCCTATTTTTTTCTTTTCCCTTATTACCTTTCCCCTACCCTTCCCATTTTCCCATCACCTTTAGCCCTTTTCTTCCCACTTCACAATGTCAATTGTCTCATTAGGATATTATGTACTATTACAGTTTATTCACACCAGAGAAACTATTCCGTATTTACACATGTGTGACTTATGTATTTCACTTAGGAGTATATCCTCAATATGCATCCATTTTCCTATGAATGAGTCTAGTTTCTCATTCTTTATGGTTGAGTAATATTCCATTTTATAGAAAAACCACATCTTCTTTATTCAATCTTCAACTGATGAGCAAATGGGCTGTTTCCCAGTTTTAGCTATTACAAACTGTGCCGCTATAAACATGGGTGTGCATATATCACTCTGGTCAAAAGATATATGTTCTCAATAGAAAACTATCTTTTGAATTGTGAATTTTGATCTTTTCCTGGATTAACAATATGCGGTACAATACTCTCTCACTATGCCAGGCAGCAGCAATGAGTCACAGATTCCAGTCAGCCACATGATCATGAGAAGAAATGATACTCTACCAGACATGTTCAACCTGCAGCCCAGGCCCCATGTGACCCTGGACAGCTAAGAATGGGGGACTCACAAGATCACAAACTTTTAATGTTATCATGTGATTTTTAGTGACATTTTTCATGACTCAGTAGCAGGGTGCTTGAGCACAGACTGTTGGGCCAACAACTGAAGGCTGTGTGGAAGAGAGCACAGTGTGTGTCCCTACACTGCTAACTCTGCCTCTTGCACCTGCCACAGAGTCAGTGGAATCAAAACCCACATATGTCAGACATTATATGACCTTGTTCTAATACTAGAAATGTTATAATAAAATATAAAAAATAAAGAAGTTTTACTTACACACATTAACTGTATTATATATTTTATATGTGGCCCAATATAATTCCTCTTCAGTCAGTGTGACCCAGGCAAGTCAAAAGAGTGGATCCACGTATTCTACAGTGTACTAGTTGGCTAGGCTATGATGCATGGAAGATTAGGTAAATTGAGCATTTTCACTTATATCAAGATGTTACCCTATTACTATAAATCAAGGAACATCTAAAGGGGTATTGTAGTTGTAATCAAGTTAAAATGAAACTACAGTGTATTAGGGTAGGCTATAAATCCAATAAACGGTATCTACAACGAGAGAAATTTGAAGACACAGGAGAGACAATGTGGAATAGGAAAAGATCAAAGTGTTACTGCCACAACAAAGCTATGCCAAGAAGCGCTGTCAACCAAGAGAAATGAGAAGAAAAGATTCTCCTCTAGAGCAATGGTGGATGGTGAACATTTTAGAGCTTTCAATGATACAAACAGCCAGCTGTGGCACATGTGCCATAGGTTTGCCACCATTGTCCTGGAGACTTTGCAGGGAGTGCGGTCCTGTCAACACCTTGATTTCATACTTCTACCTTCCAGAACTATAGGAGAAGAAATTCCTGTTATTTTAAGACATCTAGTTTGTGTGAATTGTTAGAGAAGATCTGGGAAATCTCTTATGCAGGGGTATAGCTACCCCTACTCCTACCTGTTAACTTCTGTGGTTGTAAAATGTCTAGTGTATGTTTTTGAAACACTCTCCTCTGTATGTTGAGGCTTTGCTTCTTCTTTTTGTGTTAATTGATACAGGGAGATGAAGTATGATTGAAACAGGGTAGAGTTCCCCACTCTTAGTTGGGTTGGAATTTCACTGTTGTCTTGTGTTATTTTTGTCTTTCTTGGAACTTTCAATATCAACCTGGAAATAAATAGCTAGAGGTTCTCTCAACTCTATAGGAAACATTCTCAGACCACACAGAAAGTATTTGTCACTGAAAAATAAAATGAGCAGTAAAAATCAACACTACTGAATTGTACATGTACATGATCAATATCATACATTTTATTTTTACTATAATTTTTTAAAAGTTTATGTCCCCACACATCTCTTACCAAAGTGATCTTCATGTTGCTGCCAGACACAATTCAGGGATTTGGAGGCTGTATGATGCCGATGAATGGTTAATGAAAACAAGCTTTTGAAGTTGGGTTGTTGAAAGTTTTGGCATACGATTCCTCCCTTCAGCAAGTGCCAGAGCTGCCTTTGCAAGTGGGGCAACCTGTGGCACCACATCCTAGAATACTGGACAGTAAGAAAAGAGAATAACAATAATAAATAACTTTCATGAGGTCATAGGAATAACACTACAGATTTAACTGTGTAAAAGAATAGATGTAATTAATTCAACTATATAAGATTAGACAAAGCAGAAATTCCAAAAAGCATAGTATCTTGAAAGGAATTAATTTAGCCTAGTATAAAGAGCCAATAAATGAGATTATAATAAATTAGAAAGTGTAACTGCAGAAAATCTGTGTAGTTCTTGATGTGAACCTATTTACTACTCCATACACATGAAACAACGTAATTAAATTCACAAAATGCTCATTTTGAGTGGACTTATGTGCATGTATGTGTGGATGCCCTTTGTGTGTGTATGCTGATGAGGGGATAGGGTTTCATGTTGATATAAAATGAGACGAATAAACATACACAAAAGTCACAGGGACTTAATAGAATTTACTGATGACTTGGAAGCATTCTGAAATAACAGACTACAAAACTGAGGACTCACATTAAACTTAACAAGATTTTGTGGAGGAGGGTATAGAAAAGCCCCTGCTGAAATCTGGGTTGTATTTCTTTTCTTCACTGTCTTTTGTTACTGAACATACCTATAAGTATTAGCTAAAACAGGAGCTATCAAGCTATAGCCCACACCTTAAAGTGGAATTTACATTTTAAAGGGTTGTAAACAAAAATAAAGAAAAATGTAAGAACATGATGAGATATGCTCTGAAAAGTCCAGAATATTTTCTATCTTGTCCCTTAAAGAAAAAATGTACTAACCTTTGGTCTAATATTTAATTTTTTTTATTTTTTCATTGAATTTATTGGTACATTTTAGGTATACAGTACAGTTACATTCATCATTGGGATCTTGTACTTTTACATTATGTATCTTGGGTCTTATATTTTCCCCTTTCCCCTGCCCTCTGCCCT